GTAGATGGAGCTGCGTCGGGTAGAGGCAGGACTGGTCGGATTCTGCGGTTTAAGATCAGAAGGAAGAGAAGATTTCTTAGCCCTTTTGGCTCGTTTAGGCCTCGGAGTCTCTGATTGAGCCGGAAGGACACAAGCGGAAGAGGAAGAAGTAGATGAAGAGACAGAGGAAGAAGATGGAGAAGTGGAAGTGGTTGTTAAGCAGCGCTTCTTCATTAAACTCTGAGAAATGGAGAGCAAACAAACAGAGGAAGGAAGGAAGAAGAAGAAGAGAAATTTCAGATTTTTTTTTTTTTGGTTTTTGGTTTAAGAGTGTGAGATTTTAAGAAGAGAGGAGGAAGTGGTTTACCAAAAGGAGGAAACGAGAAAGGGGAAGTTTAAATAAAACCCTGAGGAGAGAAAGGGCTTTTGGGTTAATTAGCAAAGAGTTAAAATTACATTTTGTAAGACCAAACACTTGGCCTTGTGTTGCAGCCATGCTACCAATAGCTTCACTCTCCACGCTGTCCTTTGTATTTTTGATTTTTTTGTACGTTTTTTTTTGTTTTTTTTTACATTAATTTGTTTCTGTACGTTTTATGTTTGGCAATATTTTTTAATTAATTTTTGGGGAAAGAAATGTTGGAATGGAGAATATCTTAATTTGTGACCTGGTTGAACTTCTATATTTGAGCTTGTAGAGAATCAAATAGGTGAAATATTTTGGTTTTGTAAAAGGAAGGTTGTAAGGAGAAAAAGGAATTGTTAATTGTATACATGAAAGTTGAATAGTTTGTTTCCACTTTAGAATTTAAATGTCTGTGTTTCTATAATATGTTTAACTTACCTGCTAAGAGTTTTTCTTTCTTTTTTTGAATTCGTCTTTTTTTATTTAAAAAATGCTCAAAATATCACAATGATAATGGACAGGACAGTTACACAAATTTATATTTATTTAAAATATTTGAAATTCACTTATAAACAAAACCATATCATTCCAAACTTTACGAACTAATCGTCATTGTTTAAATGCTTTAACGGCTATAACCAGTATAAACGACCACATAACGACTATTTAAACCTTTTTAGAATTGTTATTATATTTGTTTGCATCGAGCAAACAAAATTATATTTGTCTAAAATATTTGAAATTCACTTAGTAACAAAACCATATCATTCCAAACTTAACGAACTAATCGTTATTGTCTATATGCTTTAACGGCTATAACCGGTATAAACGATCACATAAACTATTTTAAAACGACTATTTAAACTATTTTTTAGAATTCTTGTCATGTTTTTTGTAGCGGGCTAACTTTTCATTGATGGTTTATTTAATAAATTAAGTTGTTTAAAAAACATTGACTACAAATACTTTAAAATTTTCTACAAAACTGAAAACAAATGAAAGCTTAAATGTTTACTTCTTTGTCAATGTTTTAAGTTCATAGTTAAGACAACAACTATTTAAATTGCTAAGAAAAAAATTCATTGAATCTTTCTAGAAAAATAATAAAGATTCTTCTGAAATATCAAGAAAAATCCAAACGACCAGGGAGACAAAAGGCCAAGAATTTCTCTGATTGAAATGGTTGAAACAATTGTCACATTCTTAGAGCATAAGAATTACATTTATGCATGAAAATTTTCGAATACTTAATAAATTGTATCACATGTAGAAGATGTCAACTAGGCTTCATAGACCGCAGGTTGGATATAAGCTCCTCTTTCACGGTTTAGGTATCTATTTCAGCTAGCAAATGGAAAAAACATTTGAAAATATCTTACGCTCATCTTTGAATAAGCTATAAAGTAAAAACTTTCAGTCACAATTCTGGAAACATGGCTAGTGTTTTCACACAGTTGTTTAGCCTAAGATGCAAAAAAAATAGATGATCAAACTGAATATAAGTCAGCATCAGAATCCAATAACTAGGGAATGATCAATGATCTTCTTTTGAAAAATATCATGCACTTTCCCGAACACTTAATTTAAATTTTTAATACTCTTCCCGAGTTATAAATAAAAATGATTTAACTCATAACATGGAAAACCGAAAAACTAATGAGAAAATAATACTAAAATGCTAGTGATAAAGACACGGAACCGTCTCGTCTCTTCCACTTCAGTTCACTGTGTCTTTCCACTTTCCCCTTCTCTAATCTTTGAGCTTATAAAAGGCATGCTTGTGTTTCTTACTCTCCCACTCGTGGCTCCTCCGAAATAGATTTCTTAATCTTCTGATTTTTTTTTCAGAGATGTCTTACGTTCCACCACATAAACGACCTGAAAATGCTGCAGTCAGAGCAGCCTCTGTTCCACCTTCTCTTCTTACAAAGCATAACAGAAACCTAGGAAGTATCAAGAATACAAAGAAAATCTACGCAGACGATTACATTTCCAAATGGTTTCTCGTTGGTTCACAGGAAAACAACAACTATCGACTTGTAGTGCCGGCTTCTTCAGATCCCGTAGAATGGAGGAAGGGTGCAGAAGAAAAGCCTTTGCTTATCTTAGTGATGACGAGCGATTTCAAGAAACTGGAAACTCCATGGTTATGCGTGGCAGAGAAGGTAGAGAATGATCTTATATTGGGATTTGGCAGAGCAAAGAAGACGCTACTACGTTATGGATCAGAAGATGTCAATCTCAGACTGATCGCTCGATTTGGGAAAGTTGTGTTCAATGGGTAAACAGTTTTGACTTTTCCTCAGTTTTCTTACACACGCACACATAAACTGTGTTATACGTACAAGATGTTAGAGATTCTAGATTGGTCTAGGATCTTGGTTTGGGAATTTCTAGTTTAATCAAAGTCTCTCTTATGGTTTGGTTAATTAATACATTAAACACTGTATGATGTTGTGCAGTGTTGAAAGTATAAGAGATGTTCCCTTGACTAAAAGCAAATTGGAAAAACAGAAGAAATATTTCAATACAAATGTCTCAAAGTCTTACGTCGAAAACATTGTGTATGGAGTTGTCCCTAAGATGGGATTATGTGTAGAAGAGACCAAAGAGTTGTATCACGTGAAGGTGCTCTTTCTTTTGTTAGATTCTTTATTATGTCTATATATTTCATTTTTTTTTTTAAAGTTTGGCTTATGGTTTTTTAGGTAGCAGACAACACTCGTCCTGATGTAACAATCTCTTGTAAATGTATGGTGGATCAACAACATAAACGACTCAATTTCTACAAGGCAAGTGTTTCTTCCTTTTCTCTCTTCACACATATTTGAAACATGACACTGAATCTTGTCATGTTTCTCTTATTCAGGCTGAGCTTAATGCTTTGAGGCATTTAATTCTCGATGTATCATGCCTTGATCAAGATCTTGACTTGAGGCTGGGGGTTGACTCAAAAAACACAATAACCAAAAATCTCTCAGTGCGTTGACTTTGTCTTTTCTTTTCTATACATAGTACTATCCAAGAAGATGGGATCACGAAGTATTAAACATGGTTCTTTGATTGTGTGTCCAGGAGAATGAGATGAATAATCTTAAGGAATTGACAGATTCAGCGGTGCTTGATCCAAATGTGAAAGGTGGTTTAAGGTGGCCGCTAGGGAAATCTTCATGCGCGGATCGATATAGTGTTTGTGGCGTTTGGCACACCGTGACAACTACGTACCGAAGCTCGACTTTGAGGCTACAAGTTCGAGAAGCAGATCGATATGATGTCAGGACTGGAATTGGAAGAAGCACAAGAGAAGTGAGTCTCAAACTAAATGCCTTGAGAAAACTACTAAAGGTAACATTTGTTTTGTTTATGTTTCATTCAAATCATGCTTCTTGAATTGTATATATGATGGTCAAATTGAGTGACAATAGATTTGTTTTGTTTACCATTTTCAGGAGGAAGAGGTGGAGAAGGGATGTGTTTCAGACATGTTAAAAGATTGTCTGAGAGCAGTGTGTGAGTACTTTTTGAAAGCAAAGTAGTCGTCACTGTGTTTGTGGTGTGTTTGCCCCAGTTTGTGTCACTTATTCCAAACTTTGCCTGCTTTTACAAATTTCTGGCTCATATTAACTTTGTGGCAATATGCCAATATCATCCATGGATCTTTTGGATTAAAAAAGTTAAGTATTTGATTTCAACTTTGTTTGCGTGTACCTTTTTTATCAATTCTCTGACGAGATATGTGGATTTAGCAATTTCAGAATATGTGTTGAATTTACACACAAGAACATCCTAAAAAGCGAAATTAGCCAAGCTACGGTTTACTCAGTTTTAAACCGAACAAAATTGAAACCGTAGATTAAACCGTAGAACAAAAAGCGAAATTAATCCAAACCGAAATTAACCAGAATAGATTAAAAAAACGAGAACCGGAATCTATCAACCGGAAAATGAAAAATCCCAAAAAACCAACAATAATTACGCGCAGTGTATTTTTCTTTTCACTTAAAAATGTCGAAAAAAACATAAGAATTAATCAGCATTAAGTAATCCCATTTCTTCGTCTCCGATAAGAAGCATATCTCTAGAATTCCAGAAAACTTGAGCCTAATCCTTCCTTCTTCATCAATCATCACCAAGCCAAGTCTGAAGGTACTTTCTCTCTCTCTCTCTCGCTCTCGCTCTCATATTCGTTCTGCTGCTACAATTGCTTGGCATGTTTGATTCTCGTTGAATTTCGTCTATTGCTTCTCTCTATGTTCTTCTCCGGGAACTAAAATAGCGCCGATCTCAAAATTGCGTTCGTCTGTAAACATAATCGGAGCATCAGAACACGTTTTCCGATTACTTTGGTGGTATTCTTCTCTATTACGTATCGGGTCATCTACACGATCAGTAATTAATCTCCTGATTTAGCGATTTACTGTTCATCCTCTGGGTTTTTGTTTGATTTCTGTAGTGATCTATAGTTGACTAGCACAGTTCTTCGTTTTCTCTCCCATATTTACTTGATTACGATTCAGTATTTATTGACGTATTTATTGGAATTGCATTCCAGATTCCAGATCTGATTGTGGATTTTGGTTGACTTCTTCTCTGAAAAGCTTCACAGCTCAAAAACATGAGTCAGAAGGGTTTGATATACAGCTTTGTTGCGAAAGGAACCGTCGTTCTAGCGGAGCATACTCCTTATTCAGGAAACTTTAGCACCATTGCTGTTCAATGTCTGCAGAAGCTACCCACAAATAGCAGCAAGTATACTTACTCTTGCGACGGTCACACTTTCAATTTCCTTGTCGACAATGGTTTTGGTGAGTTTTCTTAGCCTCTTGCATATTCAATGCTTGAAAAGTTTATCTTTTTTTTTTAACTTGTGGTTTGATGATGTCTGTTTGTATATAGTGTTTCTTGTGGTTGCTGATGAGTCTACTGGAAGAAGTGTTCCTTTTGTGTTCCTTGAACGGGTTAAGGAAGACTTCAAGAAGCGGTATGAGGCGAGTATAAAGAACGATGAGCCACACCCTCTTGCAGATGATGACGAAGATGAGGATTTGTTTGGAGATCGGTTTAGCATTGCGTACAATCTCGACAGGGAGTTCGGGTCTGTCTATAGCCATAGCTATCTGATTGTTAGTCAATTTTTTCGAATTGCAAGTTTGCAACCGTGTTCTGAATCTTTTCTTCTTGCCCCCACCTCCCTCTAACAGGCCTATACTTAAGGAGCATATGCAGTATTGTATGAGCCATCCAGAAGAGATGAGCAAACTTTCAAAGTTGAAGGCTCAAATAACTGAGGTCAAGGGGATCATGATGGACAACATTGAGAAGGTCTGCTTTTGTAGCTTTGTGTGATAAATTTATCCTTACCTCTTCCGGTTCCCAAATTTGGTCCATTTGATGTTCCTCCCTTGGATTGAGACCGTTTCACTCATGTTTGTCCTCATAGTCATGTGTAGAACCTATTAATCCATGTTTGGGTAAGTATGGGTCCATCTAGTTCATCTTATACACTACAAGTGAGTTTCCACAATGTGGAGTCACAGAGGTACATTTCGGACTCCTTACCTCTTCCGGTTCCCAAATTTGGTCCATTTGATGTTCCTCCCTTGGATTGAGACCGTTTCACTCATGTTTGTCCTCATAGTCATGTGTAGAACCTATTAATCCATGTTTGGGTAAGTATGGGTCCATCTAGTTCATCTTATACACTACAAGTGAGTTTCCACAATGTGGAGTCACAGAGGTACATTTCGGACTCCTTACCTCTTCCGGTTCCCAAATTAGGTCCATTTGATGTTCCTCCCTTGGATTGAGACCGTTTCACTCATGTTTGTCCTCATAGTCATGTGTAGAACCTATTAATCCATGTTTGGGTAAGTATGGGTCCATCTAGTTCATCTTATACACTACAAGTGAGTTTCCACAATGTGGAGTCACAGAGGTACATTTCGGACTCCTTACCTCTTCCGGTTCCCAAATTAGGTCCATTTGATGTTCCTCCCTTGGATTGAGACCGTTTCACTCATGTTTGTCCTCATAGTCATGTGTAGAACCTATTAATCCATGTTTGGGTAAGTATGGGTCCATCTAGTTCATCTTATACACTACAAGTGAGTTTCCACAATGTGGAGTCACAGAGGTACATTTCGGACTCCTTACCTCTTCCGGTTCCCAAATTAGGTCCATTTGATGTTCCTCCCTTGGATTGAGACCGTTTCACTCATGTTTGTCCTCATAGTCATGTGTAGAACCTATTAATCCATGTTTGGGTAAGTATGGGTCCATCTAGTTCATCTTATACACTACAAGTGAGTTTCCACAATGTGGAGTCACAGAGGTACATTTCGGACTCCTTACCTCTTCCGGTTCCCAAATTAGGTCCATTTGATGTTCCTCCCTTGGATTGAGACCGTTTCACTCATGTTTGTCCTCATAGTCATGTGTAGAACCTATTAATCCATGTTTGGGTAAGTATGGGTCCATCTAGTTCATCTTATACACTACAAGTGAGTTTCCACAATGTGGAGTCACAGAGGTACATTTCGGACTCCTTACCTCTTCCGGTTCCCAAATTAGGTCCATTTGATGTTCCTCCCTTGGATTGAGACCGTTTCACTCATGTTTGTCCTCATAGTCATGTGTAGAACCTATTAATCCATGTTTGGGTAAGTATGGGTCCATCTAGTTCATCTTATACACTACAAGTGAGTTTCCACAATGTGGAGTCACAGAGGTACATTTCGGACTCCTTACCTCTTCCGGTTCCCAAATTAGGTCCATTTGATGTTCCTCCCTTGGATTGAGACCGTTTCACTCATGTTTGTCCTCATAGTCATGTGTAGAACCTATTAATCCATGTTTGGGTAAGTATGGGTCCATCTAGTTCATCTTATACACTACAAGTGAGTTTCCACAATGTGGAGTCACAGAGGTACATTTCGGACTCCTTACCTCTTCCGGTTCCCAAATTAGGTCCATTTGATGTTCCTCCCTTGGATTGAGACCGTTTCACTCATGTTTGTCCTCATAGTCATGTGTAGAACCTATTAATCCATGTTTGGGTAAGTATGGGTCCATCTAGTTCATCTTATACACTACAAGTGAGTTTCCACAATGTGGAGTCACAGAGGTACATTTCGGACTCCTTACCTCTTCCGGTTCCCAAATTAGGTCCATTTGATGTTCCTCCCTTGGATTGAGACCGTTTCACTCATGTTTGTCCTCATAGTCATGTGTAGAACCTATTAATCCATGTTTGGGTAAGTATGGGTCCATCTAGTTCATCTTATACACTACAAGTGAGTTTCCACAATGTGGAGTCACAGAGGTACATTTCGGACTCCTTACCTCTTCCGGTTCCCAAATTAGGTCCATTTGATGTTCCTCCCTTGGATTGAGACCGTTTCACTCATGTTTGTCCTCATAGTCATGTGTAGAACCTATTAATCCATGTTTGGGTAAGTATGGGTCCATCTAGTTCATCTTATACACTACAAGTGAGTTTCCACAATGTGGAGTCACAGAGGTACATTTCGGACTCCTTACCTCTTCCGGTTCCCAAATTAGGTCCATTTGATGTTCCTCCCTTGGATTGAGACCGTTTCACTCATGTTTGTCCTCATAGTCATGTGTAGAACCTATTAATCCATGTTTGGGTAAGTATGGGTCCATCTAGTTCATCTTATACACTACAAGTGAGTTTCCACAATGTGGAGTCACAGAGGTACATTTCGGACTCCTTACCTCTTCCGGTTCCCAAATTAGGTCCATTTGATGTTCCTCCCTTGGATTGAGACCGTTTCACTCATGTTTGTCCTCATAGTCATGTGTAGAACCTATTAATCCATGTTTGGGTAAGTATGGGTCCATCTAGTTCATCTTATACACTACAAGTGAGTTTCCACAATGTGGAGTCACAGAGGTACATTTCGGACTCCTTACCTCTTCCGGTTCCCAAATTAGGTCCATTTGATGTTCCTCCCTTGGATTGAGACCGTTTCACTCATGTTTGTCCTCATAGTCATGTGTAGAACCTATTAATCCATGTTTGGGTAAGTATGGGTCCATCTAGTTCATCTTATACACTACAAGTGAGTTTCCACAATGTGGAGTCACAGAGGTACATTTCGGACTCCTTACCTCTTCCGGTTCCCAAATTAGGTCCATTTGATGTTCCTCCCTTGGATTGAGACCGTTTCACTCATGTTTGTCCTCATAGTCATGTGTAGAACCTATTAATCCATGTTTGGGTAAGTATGGGTCCATCTAGTTCATCTTATACACTACAAGTGAGTTTCCACAATGTGGAGTCACAGAGGTACATTTCGGACTCCTTACCTCTTCCGGTTCCCAAATTAGGTCCATTTGATGTTCCTCCCTTGGATTGAGACCGTTTCACTCATGTTTGTCCTCATAGTCATGTGTAGAACCTATTAATCCATGTTTGGGTAAGTATGGGTCCATCTAGTTCATCTTATACACTACAAGTGAGTTTCCACAATGTGGAGTCACAGAGGTACATTTCGGACTCCTTACCTCTTCCGGTTCCCAAATTAGGTCCATTTGATGTTCCTCCCTTGGATTGAGACCGTTTCACTCATGTTTGTCCTCATAGTCATGTGTAGAACCTATTAATCCATGTTTGGGTAAGTATGGGTCCATCTAGTTCATCTTATACACTACAAGTGAGTTTCCACAATGTGGAGTCACAGAGGTACATTTCGGACTCCTTACCTCTTCCGGTTCCCAAATTAGGTCCATTTGATGTTCCTCCCTTGGATTGAGACCGTTTCACTCATGTTTGTCCTCATAGTCATGTGTAGAACCTATTAATCCATGTTTGGGTAAGTATGGGTCCATCTAGTTCATCTTATACACTACAAGTGAGTTTCCACAATGTGGAGTCACAGAGGTACATTTCGGACTCCTTACCTCTTCCGGTTCCCAAATTAGGTCCATTTGATGTTCCTCCCTTGGATTGAGACCGTTTCACTCATGTTTGTCCTCATAGTCATGTGTAGAACCTATTAATCCATGTTTGGGTAAGTATGGGTCCATCTAGTTCATCTTATACACTACAAGTGAGTTTCCACAATGTGGAGTCACAGAGGTACATTTCGGACTCCTTACCTCTTCCGGTTCCCAAATTTGGTCCATTTGATGTTCCTCATTGAGATTTCACTCATGTTTGTCCTCATAGTTGTGTATATTAGTATGGGTCCATCTAGTTCATCTTATACACTACAAGTGAGTTTCCACAATGTGGAGTCACAGAGGTACATTTCGGACTCCTTACCTCTTCCGGTTCCCAAATTAGGTCCATTTGATGTTCCTCCCTTGGATTGAGACCGTTTCACTCATGTTTGTCCTCATAGTCATGTGTAGAACCTATTAATCCATGTTTGGGTAAGTATGGGTCCATCTAGTTCATCTTATACACTACAAGTGAGTTTCCACAATGTGGAGTCACAGAGGTACATTTCGGACTCCTTACCTCTTCCGGTTCCCAAATTAGGTCCATTTGATGTTCCTCCCTTGGATTGAGACCGTTTCACTCATGTTTGTCCTCATAGTCATGTGTAGAACCTATTAATCCATGTTTGGGTAAGTATGGGTCCATCTAGTTCATCTTATACACTACAAGTGAGTTTCCACAATGTGGAGTCACAGAGGTACATTTCGGACTCCTTACCTCTTCCGGTTCCCAAATTAGGTCCATTTGATGTTCCTCCCTTGGATTGAGACCGTTTCACTCATGTTTGTCCTCATAGTCATGTGTAGAACCTATTAATCCATGTTTGGGTAAGTATGGGTCCATCTAGTTCATCTTATACACTACAAGTGAGTTTCCACAATGTGGAGTCACAGAGGTACATTTCGGACTCCTTACCTCTTCCGGTTCCCAAATTAGGTCCATTTGATGTTCCTCCCTTGGATTGAGACCGTTTCACTCATGTTTGTCCTCATAGTCATGTGTAGAACCTATTAATCCATGTTTGGGTAAGTATGGGTCCATCTAGTTCATCTTATACACTACAAGTGAGTTTCCACAATGTGGAGTCACAGAGGTACATTTCGGACTCCTTACCTCTTCCGGTTCCCAAATTAGGTCCATTTGATGTTCCTCCCTTGGATTGAGACCGTTTCACTCATGTTTGTCCTCATAGTCATGTGTAGAACCTATTAATCCATGTTTGGGTAAGTATGGGTCCATCTAGTTCATCTTATACACTACAAGTGAGTTTCCACAATGTGGAGTCACAGAGGTACATTTCGGACTCCTTACCTCTTCCGGTTCCCAAATTTGGTCCATTTGATGTTCCTCCCTTGGATTGAGACCGTTTCACTCATGT